GCGCCGAGGAAGGGCCTGGGCGGAGAAACGCGGCTTGCTCCCGCCCCGGGGGCGGAGTCGGCGTCCGGCCCCGCCGGAACTTCAGAGGCGACTTGCCTCCGGGCGCCGGAAGGGCGGGACCTGCGCGCTCTGGAGACCCGAGCCTGAGGGCCCGGGTGCGCATGCGGCCGCAGGCGCGGCGGGAGGGGCTCCGAGCGAGTCCGCCTTTCGTTTCCGTTCGCCTTCCTTTCCTCAGCCTCATCCAGAAAACCGGGAAGTGCAGGAGCAAACCGCAGGACAGACCCACCCCCTGCGCCTCACCAGCTTACGGCCACGAGGGCGCCGATTCCTCTCTGGGGCCCGCCCCTTCGAGCGGGGTCAGATTACGCCTGTCTGGACCTATCTCACCAAAGTGAGAAGTTGGTGTTTAACTTTCGGGGGAGGAGACACACTCCCGTGGGGCTGAAGAGGTTCCAGGGGGAGGGCCGTAAGGAACTCATGGGTCCTCACACGGGGATAGCCTTGTAACTCAAGCCCATGGCGTGCAGTGTGACCGGCCCCGGACCCCTGGCTCACCCCTCGCAGAGTTCTGGGGGCCCCCCAACAGCTTGGGGCCATGCCAGTTTCACCCGCTTTAACCGCCTGGCGTCTCGGTTTTGTGTCTCTTATCTAGAGTGCCCACTCACTGATGTGAGACTTTCAGGGTCGGCTGGGAGCCACAGCCCAGCCTCCCGATGCAGTCTGAATCCAGCCGGTGTGAAGAGGAGACCCCTTCCCTCTTGTGGGGTTTGGATCCTGTGTTTCTAGCCTTTGCAAAACTCTACGTCAGGGATATCTTGGACTTGAAGGAGTCCTGCCAGGTGCCAGGTACGTAACTGGTCGCCCGGTGGCTGCCCTGTGCTGTATCTGCACCGCACCAAACCACAGAAATCGGGGGCTTAGGGGCTTTCAGAAAAGCCTTCCCTCCTGCAGGCTTTGAAAACGACCTAGCCTGGATCCTCAATTCAGTTCATTCCTGTGCAAGTTAAAAAACATCTAAATCTTTTTTTAAATAGATGCTTGGAGGAGTAACCTTTGTACTGATGATTTTTTTTTAATGGGATTTGAGGTCTTTCATATTTAAAAATGCTCAGTTGTTTTTCCTGGGCCTGCTCTTGGTGGCAAGCTCACTGGACCAGGCATCCCTAGGCCTTGCACCGTTTCCTAACGTGCCACTTACCTGGCCTGGATGTGACTCACCTATATTTAACCTGATTTTCTTGTGGGGTTTTGTTTTGTTTTGAATTCATATCAAATTTTGGATTTATATCAAAATATATAAACTTCCCGAGAGGAAGGACATCATCTGCCTTGTTCACATATATAATCCCAGTGCTTAGAACAGTGCGTGACATGTAATGGGCCATCAAGAAATAGTAACTGGAGCAACAAAGCATTATAAGTGTAGAGTTAAAGAAATCACTCTTTAAAAAAATTTTATTAGGGAGGGAGTCACTTAAGATAGGCTCTTTATACATAAAAATATAACAAATATAGTGTGAAGTAGATTTAAATAATTCACATAGCTGTGGATGGATCTTCACTTGTTTACTCTGCTATATGAGAAGCTTGGTTAAACTCTGCTATTTTGAACGAATAGCAAGCTGTGAGTTAGAAGTGGTCAAGAATCTCAAGTATGCAGTTTTAATGACATGATTTTCTGTTTCTAGTTCAGTGTACAAATACATTTGAATGACCTTTTTCTAGAGCTTTTTGTACAGATTTTTCACCACACCTTTATTTCCTAATTATTGTTGGAAATATTCTGTTTTTTTCCTTGGGAGGCGGCCATCCTCCCCCACATTTGTCTATTTTCCAGAACATTCTGGTATTCTAAATAGCTCATCTCCTCTGGAAGAAATTCATTCACACCAAATGTCAGTCTTGCTTAAAGGTCTTCTGTAGGTGCTCAAGGAAGTATTGTCACTGAAAGAGACCGGGTCAGAGCCCTGTCCTGTAGTGTGTGGGTTCTTGACTTAGTGTAGGAAAGATTTCACAAAACAAGTCCAAGTGGTCTTGAGAATACATTTGTTAAAGCTGGGGATAGTGAAATAAGGAAGGGTCTAGGATAAGAGAAGCACCAGGAGAGAGCCTAGGTGGGGCTGCTTTGGCTCTTTAGAAACGTTATAGTGGAAAGAAGGGAGCCAAGGCAGGGCAGCTGTTATTGGAAGTAAGAGAAAAGGAGACCTTGGAGACAGGTTCAGGGGTTTAGCTCAGGATGAGCTGCCTCTGCCCGCTGTTCCCCTGGTTGCAAGTCTCCTGTGGACCCTTAGAAGTTAGGAAAAAAGTTGACGCCCAAGCTTGGAAGTGCTCCAGAAAGAGTCCAGGCTGGGTATTTTGTCTAGAGGCTTTTTCTTTCCGTGGGAATCTTAGGGGAGGTCTCAGGAGGGTTTCTGCAGAATATCAGCTTTCCAAGTGTGGGGTAGACATGTTTTTTAATATGTTGATGTACCAAAATGAGTGCATAGAGAAGGACCAGGTCATTTTCTGGCCAGCTTTGCCCCTATCTTAGATTTGTTTGACTTGTCAATGTAAGAAACGTCCAGACCTGTAAGAATTTTTATGAATTGATTTGAGCCAAACTGATGACAGTGGTGGGAAGCAAAATCTCAACAGATTGAAAAAATGCTCCAGAGAATGGCAGTTATGCACCTTATTTTATACATTACAGTCAAAGGAGGAGGCATAAGGGGGTTACATGAAATTCATTGGTGACAGGTTAGGGAGGTGGAGAAAGCAAGGGGGGTGCATTTCTGGGATTCGATAAAAAGTAAAATGAATAGATACATGCGGCTTTTACTTTTGTGCGTATGGGATAGTTAACAGTCAATAATTAACATGATAACAACAATGAGGGGATTAATGTCTTTGCTCTGTGCTTTGAGGAATCCAGAAGAGAAATTACTTTGGTTTTCCAAAAGCATGTTATCATAGATGCAAAAAAAAGAAAAGACAGGCTCAGTTTAGGTGAAGATTGACCTTTGTTAGGGGAAAATACTATCTGCCTTGATCTGCTTTTAGTTTAGAAAATTTCATTTTCAGACCATCCGCTGTGGTTTCTGAGTTTTGTAAGGCCACTATGCTGGCCTCCTCTGAGCTTTTCAGGGTTAGTATGTGGCCCCTTTTTCATCCACAGACTCTAATTTTTTTATTTATTTATTCCCCTGACTTCATCCCTCCTTGGGTTTGACTGGCACTAATGGACTAAATGGGTCTCTGTTATCTCTCTCCCTGACCAGGGTGATTTAAGCGGTTAGAGAAGAAAGGTATAAACCATTTACTCTCTAGTGTCCTTGGTTAGGGAAGAGAAGGACTTGGAATTTACTAGCTGTCTGTAAATTGCTTGACTTGTTTGGCCCTATTTTTCTAACCATCTGTTTCATTTTCCTTTTTCCCACTTGTCAAAAATTCTAACACTTAACTGTTTTGCCTCAGTATCAGGGGCATGACGGACCAGCTTAACTCTTGTGGGTGAAGGACTTTATGATGGATTAACAACAAACCAAGGAAAACTGGTCCCAGTGATCTTTGCTATATCACTGGTGATACTATTTTGGATGTGGTTTTTAAAATGAAACCTCATGGTTAAAGCAGACATCAACCTTCATCTCAGATAGTGATCTTTAGATTATACTGTAGGGTTTTAGGGTGGGGAAATGCCACTAGTCTAGGTTTTTGTTTTTGTTGTTGTTTGGTTTGCCATAAAGAAAAAAACTCCTATTTTGATTGCATAAAATTTAGAAATGTTTAAACAGCAAAGAATATCTTAAAAGTTAACCAAAGAATGATAAAACAGGAAACAGAATTTGGTTGTCCTTAGTTCCTGAGTTTATGCTAGTGAGATGCCTCAGGCTCGGCCCCTAGTTTCAGGATTGGTGTTAGTGCCTGAGACACCAGGTGATTTGAGGGTTGTTGTTTTTTAATTTTTTTTTTTTTTAATCCTCACCCAAGGATTTTTTTTCCATTGCTTTTCAGAGGGAGTGGAAGGGAAAGAGAGAGAAACATCACTGAGGGAGAGACAGAGAGAGAGAGAGAGGGAGACAGTGATAGGTTGCATCCCACACTCGGGGACCGAGGCACGTGCCCTTGACTGGAATCGAACCCAAGACTCTTCAGTTCCCAGGTCGACTCTCTAACCACTGAGCCAAACCGGCTAGGGCGAGGGTTGGGTTTTGAGCCAACTTCAGCCTGACTCCTTGGGAGGGGAGGGGGACTGGAGATTGAATTATCATGTGGCCAGTGATTCAGTCAACCATGTCTATGTAATGAAACCCTAATGAAAACTGGCCACTGAGGCTTGGGTGAGCTTTCCTGGTTGGTAAGCATACATCAACATGTCCTGAGGACATGGAAGCTTTGCGCTTGCTTTGCGCTTGGACTCTGCCAGACCTTGTCCTATGCATCTCTTTATTTGCCTATTCCAGATTTATACCCTTTATCATAAAATCATAGTTGTAAGTATAGCACCTTCCTGAGTATAGCACCTATGTGCCATTCTAACAAATTATCAAACCTAATGGAGTCATGGGAATTCCTCAGTTTGTAGCCAGTTGGTCAGATGTGTGGGTAACCAGAGGACCCTCAAATTTGGGACTGGTGAATGAAGTGAGATCAGCCTGTGGGAGACTGTGCCCTTAACCTGTGAAATTTGACCTTACACTGGATAGCTTCAGAATTGCCTTGCAAAATGGTTGCAAAATGTGGATTCCCCTAAATTAACCTGTGAATTTAGGGTTAAACTAAAAAATATATAAAGTTTGACTGTGGTGGTGGTGGTGTTTAGGTTTGGGGGCTCTTTTGTTTTGTCTTTTTTTTTTAATATATCTTTATTGATTTCAGAGAGAGGAAAGGAGAGGGAGAGAGAGATAGAAACATCAATGAGAGAGTCATTGATTGAGCCCACAACCCAGGCATGTGCCCTGACGGGGAATTGAACCCTGATCACCTGGATCCTAGGTCGATGCTCAACCGCTAAGCCACGCCCAGCCAGGCTGTTTTGTCTTTTTGTTTACAGCTCATAGCATACAGAAATGGTCTTTTATTCCAAATGTCAAACTTTAATGATAGGATAAATAGTGAATCACTTATTTAAATAAAAATACAGTACTTATATTGTCTAATTCTGGAGGGTCCAATGAAATGGAAATAATGTATTCATAATAACTAATATATATATTTTAAAAATATTTTCTTAGGCATTTTAATGCTATCGAACTTTGTTAAGAGCAATTGTAGCATCAATTAATTAACCACAGTTAGACTAAAAACACATAAGTTGAAAGTACTTTTAAGAGAGAAAACACAGCCCTGGCACAGTTTGATCCCTAGTCAGGGCACATACCCAGATTGGGGTTTCATCCTCCGTTGGGGCATTTGCAGGAGGCAATTTATTGATGTTTCACCCTCACACTGATGTTTCTTTCTCTCACTCTCTAAAAACTCGATAAAAAGCATGTCCTCGGGTGAATATTATAAATAAATAAATAAATAATAAATAAAAATAAGAGAAAACACAGGCAAATGTTTTGCTGTGATTGGCTGTTCAGGGGTCAGCTGCTGTGCAAACTAAATCAGACCTCCCTTTTACCCTGGGATTTGGAACTCTCCCAGCATGACCATCCTTCGGGGGGATATGTTTGGGTCTCTGTGGGCTGCCTGTGGAACAAAAGGCAGCAGGAGCAAAGAGGTCACTTGAGAAAGGCTGCAACTTTAACTCAACATTAGCCAGTATCTGCTGTGTTTACTTTCTTTTCTTAGCTCTCTCCTAGCTTTCTCTCTGTCAACAGGGTTGCCATCCAATTTTCTTGAGCTCTTTTCCCGTAGAGGGGAATCTTGTGTTCCTGGCTGGGTAGCTCAGTTGGGTAGGGCATTGTCATGATACACCAAGTTTCCATGTTCNAATCTTGTGTTCCTGGCTGGGTAGCTCAGTTGGGTAGGGCATTGTCATGATACACCAAATTTCCATGTTCGATCCCCGGTCAGGGCACATACAAGAAGCAACCAGTGAATGCATAAATAAGTGGGACAACAAGTCGACATTTCTTTCTCCCCCTTTCTCTCCCCTTCTCTCTAAAATCAATAAAAATTAAAAATGTAAAAAGAGAGAGGGAGAGGATCTTGTGTTGACAGAAGGAAATGCTTCTCCAGATCTTTTTTCATGTCTTCGGACATCTTGTAGGGGTTGCAACTCTGCTATGTATAGTTCATGTTTCTATACCCTTTGGGAAATTTCTTTATTTCTATGTAGTGTATTTCCGCCCCAGTTGATTTTCTCTGAGTGTTTCTATTCAACCCACCTGTTACTTTCTTCTGAATTTGTTCTCCATTGTTCTGTGATGTTTTTAAAACGTTTTTCTGTCAGTCAGTTGGGATTGGAAGGGTTTTTTACATCTTTGAGTGACTGTGTCTGTCCTTGAAGGTGAGCCATTGTCAGAGCACGAGATGAAAGTTGAGCTCCCTTTTCTGTGCTTTTTTGAGAAAGTCTGTTATGTCCTCAAGTGAAGACCTGTTCAGATTTTTATTGAGTGTTGCCCAACACAGTGTTTGTAACATTGGATGACTAGCCTCTAAGTGATTTGGGGACTTCATTGGTTTGTGCCATTAGTCTAATCTTCTCATCGCCTTTTTCATGTGCTACAACCCAGTCATAACACCTTTTGGCTAGCTCTTTTTCCTTTTTTTTTTTATCCTCACCTGAGGATATTTTTTCCATTGCTTTTCAGAGAGCAGAAGGGAGGGAGAGAGAGAGAGAAACATCAATGTGAGAGAGACACATCAATTGGTTGCCTCCTGCACATGCCTAATCAGGGCTTGGGATCAAGCCTGCAGCCAAGGTATGTGCCCTTGACTGGAACTGAACCCTTGACCCTTCGGTCTGAAGGCCAGTGCTCTAACCACTGAGCCAAACCAGCTAGGGCTCTTTTTATCTTCTTAAAGTGTGTCGACTCTTTACTGCAACAACCACCATAGATAGCAGCACGTACCAAGGTGTCCCAAGGCAACCTGGAGAGTCCTGGGACTGCCCAAAGCTTTCAGATATCACCAGCAGAACACCATTGCAGCTCCAGCACCATCTGGAAAAGCATTGTGGGGCAGGCTTTAGCCCTCCATAGGTCCCAAGGGCTCCCCAGCTCTGCCTCTGCTTGCCAATGCCCTGCGGGCCATGACTTACCACAGGAAACCCTGTGGAGTGTTCCATCTCTAATACAAACAATTCCATGGCAACCACGACTGACCATGATGACTTGGGCTGGAGGAGGGGGAGGCCAGTCAGGTTTTAGAAAGCACTGCTCTCTAACTTTGCTGTGCTCAGTGCACAACTATAAAGTAATATTATCTGTACAGTACACTTGGGGAAGCAGAAAGGGCTGACTCTGCCACAGACCAGCCTGGAGCTCCCGCCACTCTGAGCCCCTCCTGGCCCTACAACAAACTTGGAGTCCAGAACAGTGCTATGCCATAGCCCATCTCTGCACAAGACCATGTCAGGGCATGGTTGGGGTACACTCCACTAGAGGACTCCATGCCCATGCCCCTGGGTGAGGTTCAGTCTCCCAATTTTAACTTCCCTTCTGCTAAGCAGAGAAGCAGGTAAAGGTTGTCTGCAAAGGTCCTACAGGGACTCCCTCCTCCTTCCTTTGTGTTTGGTCAGTGCAGGCACGCCAAAGCAGAGGATTGAGCATCTCACTAAAGGTACTAAGACCTGGATTTTAATTGTAAGAACTCAGGAGAAGTAACTGGAACTGCCTTGCTCTTAAAACTTCATGGACTTCCTGTGGAGCCAGTTTGTCCATGTTCAATCCAAGTGTTCCTAGCTTGGGATGACACAGTGACCCAGTCTCTTTTCCTTCGTGGCCCTGCCTTTCAGCTCATGGCCCCCAAGGTTGCCCTGGCCACAATTTCCAATCTGCAAGTATCTTTTGAAATATGCCTCTGGCCTAATTTTGGCTAAGTTTGCCACCTTTTCTTCAAATCACATCTCACTCTTTTAGAATTTCTGGCTAACTGGGACTCAGAGTCTCCTTGTCTGTCCCCTGGGACTCTGCTGTGAGCAGCTCATCCCCAGCCCCTTTATCCATGTGGAAAACAAGAATTATCCGTGGTGGCCAGCCTGGGATTCGGGAAGATGTCAGGGTTCAGCCCATAGTTCCCCGTGGACATGGAGAATAAAGGCCTGACCAGGCTTGAGGGGAGGTAGTCAGATGCCTGAAGTGGTAACTGATTCTCTAGTTACAATTCTTTTTTTAAAGGAAGTACCATTTAAAAGTGTATAGCCTCTTTCTGAAAGTAAAGAATTCAGCCATAGTGGAGAGAAAAAAAGAGAGGATTTTAGTTAGGACTCTTTAGCTGCAGGTGACAGGAACATAAGGCAAGTAGCTTAATCCAAAAAATTAAGATAAGGATATGGGACGGGAGAGGGGGGCACAGAATGGAAGCTCTGCAGGAGCTAGCACAGTACTGGGACCTGGATTGGAATCAGACTCACCACTTAACCCTCTGTCTGAGTCCAGATAAGGCCTCTGGGTATTTGTGGGTAAGGCTCATCCTCTCAGGTGTCTCCTGTGGCGGGGAACCTGTCTGCTGGCATCTGTCATCGAGGTTTGAAAATAGAGTTTCAAAGAGTTTTTTGTTTTTTTTTTTAAATATATCTATTGATTTCAGAGAGAGTAAGGGAGAGGGAGAGAGAGAGAAACATCAATGATGAGAGAGGGGTCATTGATCATCTGCCTCGTGCACGCCCCTGACTGGGGATTGAGCCCACAACCTGGGCATGGGCCCTGACCGGGAATCGAACCGGGATCTCCTGGATCCTAGGTTGATGCTCAACTGCTGAGCCGCACCCAGCAGGGCTCAAAGAGTTTCTGAGTTATGTGTTGGCCCCAAAGCATAGTATTTGTTACTAAAATCAATCTTCTCTCTTAAAAAAAAGCGCTACTGCTAATGCACAGAAATGATGACTGGTTTCCTGGAAAAGCACCCGTGAAAAAGTCAAGCCTTTCTCGTGGTTTACCTCTTTTTCCTTTCGCCGTCCCTCAAAACACAGTGTTGTGTTTGGTTCTGTAACATGGTCTGTTTTCATGCCCTTTATGAGAGTTCTACAGGGAGGTACATTTCATTTTCACAAGTGGAAGGAAGATTAACCAAATGCAGTTGGGCAACATTGGTTTTCTTTTTTCTGTACCAGTACATGCTTCTTTAAAGCCAGGCTTTCTTCTTATCACCCCTGAGGAAAAGACACCTGATTTCATGGGGCTTGCCACTTGTCAAGGGCCAATTCTTAAGTCTGGAATTTCAGCAAGCAGCATGCCACTGATTTTTGACACACACACCCCACCTCCACAGTTAACACTGACTAAAACAGAAAATGTAGTCACACATTATATGGACTTTGCCTTTTCTCTCTCTCTCTAATTTCAGGTGTATTTTTTTACAATGGGCATCCAATAAAACAAGTAGATATCTTGGGAACTGTAATTGGAGTGAGAGAAAGAAATACTTTCTACAGTTACGGAGGTAAGAACAATTGAATCTGACATTGAGTTCATGTGGAAAGACCCCACTTGGTTGAGTGCTGAATTTGAAACACCCCAGCCTTTCGGAGCAGCCAGGAACTCTCACAGACCCCCACGCGCTTTCCTCTGTTGGGAGCCCCTTGGAGCCCCCCACATGGACTAAGTGCAAAATGAGGCAACAGGTAGAAATGATGGTGATGAATACCGTGAAGGGCCAGCTGCCGGGGAGTTAGGAGGCAGAAGAATTAAAATAACGGCAGTCTAGGATAGCTGGTTGACCTGAGACAGACACCTGATACCTGAGGGCATAGCTATAAATAGCAAAGGATGGTAACATATGTCTATATTGATACCTTTAAAAAGAAAAGGCTAGATTAATGCTAAAGTAGATCCTTTAAGCAGGCGGGGAGGTGTGAAAAATAATGTATAAGATTTATATCCAGAAAAGTTTTTTTTAAAAGCTTTTTGTTTTGTAAATATACATTACCAGAAGATTTCCCTTCCCTCGTGATGATGGAAACTAAAGGGTTTCTGTAGTTTGGATACCAGAGAATTATTGGAATATGATTTCAGTGTCAAGGGTCTTGATTTTTTTTTTCATTGAGTTTAATGTAAGCATTTTAATGCATTGCCTCATGCAGCTCTAAGATCCTTTGTAGTTAAGAAGCCAAGCTAGATATTTTCTGGGAAGCCTAACTTTGAATCCAAACCTTTGCTGTAATATTGTCACTTTTTGTGTGTTGCCTTGGATCTATGTTCTTGTTCTACCTGGGGAAAGACAAAGGCAGTTGAACTTGGTGACCAAGAACATTTCATTGGTAGCCTGTGCATGACTGATAATTTACAGACACAGTATCACTGCATTCCTTCAACATGTATTCATTTTCCTGAGGATGACTGTCTTGTGCTTATAAAATAACGTGCAAGATGAGATTTCTCATGCCCTCTGCTTTTTCCCAGCATATACGTTTTTAAAACTCTGAAATAGATCATCTTGTCAGGCATCCCTTTATTGGATCTCGTCTCTGCTTTATATACCAAAGATATTGGTTTTATTTTTCTTCAGTCAGTTCAACGAGCAGTCACTAAAGTTCCTACAGCATACCCAGCTGTGGGCAAGAACCTTATCTATAGCACTATACAGTACTTCTCTCCAAATGCCAGTGATGAAATAATAGTATGTTTCAATTTACAAAGCATTTTTACATGCATAATTTTATGTTATTTACCTTCTAATCTTTTGAAATAGAAAGGACAGATATTTCCATTTTGTAGATGAGAAAACTAAGGCTCAGTTACTTGCTCAAGGTTCCACTGATGGGTCCAGTGTTTTTACTGACTATAGTTGCTGTATAGTCCACATGCAACTCAGTTTGATTTTTCTCTCACCCATGTTCCTCTGTCCCCAATCAGTGACATCTAGTTTTTAATTTTCTGTTTTTTAGGTCAAATAAATGAGGCCGTTTGAGGACATCAGTCCTGGCTCTAGAACTAGGCTAGATATGCCTGTGACCTACAGGAGCTTCACTAACCCCTATTCCAATTATAAAAAGATGAAGGTGTTATGTCTGAGTCTCACCCATAAACATTTCCCTTAGAGTGGATGTCATGACATATATGTGGGCTATGGGAAAACAAAAAGCATCTGAAGGTTGACATTGAGAATAGAAATGCTTTTGTGACTTTAATTCATGTGAGCCTGTTCAAGGGATTGCTGCACTCTCCCTGCTGTCCTCAGGGCCCAACTTGGCTCTCAGGCCACCTACCAGGCAGCCACTCCTGCTGTCCTGGGTCCTGCTCTGCCTGACTCACTGCAGGCCTATGCTGGGGGTGCTTCCTGCTCACACTGACCCCTCCCTTGGCTGAAACAAAAGGCCAGCAGCCCAGGCAGTACTGCCCAGCTGGAAATGACCTGGAGCAGCCCTGCAAGGATGCTCCCCTTCCGGGGCATTCCAGCAGCCAGACCTCAGGGCGCCAGGAGAGGGTCTGCTGGGAGAGGTTACCAACCAGAGGTGGGAGGGTTTGGTGGCATTGCCCTGAGCACACAGAACACCTGGCAGCAACTCAAGCTCAGACCTAGAATCCTGAGAGGCTGCAGTCCAGGTCAGAATGACCTCACATTTTCTAGAACAAATATTCATGTGCTAACATTTTTTGACTTTGCATTATAAATCAAGATTTTAAACTGGCCAGAGAAGTGGTGTGCCTAGAGGTGTCATACATTTTTAAAAAGACAAAATGCCCTTATTAAATTTTTGCTTCTTAAAATGATACTTAGCTCATTATAAAATAAAATTTGAAGCTAGAGAAATTTTTAATAAGTACATAAAACTCACGTGAAGCTTGTAAATCAGACAAAAACAAGGTCAGTGTTTGAGTGAACCTCCTTCCAAACATTTCTAACATGTTCCTAATATTGAAGAAATATGCCTGTTTCTTTGTAACTATTATTCACATTTCTTTCTCTTCTTAATAGTTCTGAAATTGCTTACAGTCCATGAATACATTGAATATGGGGTTCCTTCCCCATATCCCAAGAGAAACTGCTATTAGCATTTTGATGTCTTAATGTTACTTCTTTCAAAATACAGTTTAATGTTTTGTATAAATTAGATTATATATAAGATTATACATACAATTTCTGTTTTACAGTGAGGAGTGAATATCTTTTAACAGCAATGAACATTCTTCATTATAACTTCTTATTCTCATATGCTGTGCCATTGTAATTTATTTAACCAATTACATATTTGTAAACATTTAGGTTATTTCCAGTACTGTAAACAATATTGCAATGAATGGCCTTACACAAGATGTATATATCTGTGTATTTGTTCTCTTTTTTTCCTCAGGATAGATTACTGGAAGGAAATGTTAAGTCAAAGAATACACTGTATACATTTTAAAATTTGCTCTTTATAAATTTGATACAGATTTGTAGTCTCACTAACAGCAAGCATGTGAAGGTACCAATATTTTTAATACTATATGTGATTTTAGTAGTTGAGGAAATTATTTCAATTTGCTTCCTTTTTTTCTTGTAACCTAGTGAATTTAGTGTGCTGACATGTTTATTGGCCATTTTTTATATCTCCCATGAATTGCGTATATATATATATATATATATTTTGGCCACTTTTTCTCTTGTGGTCTTGGTCTTTTCCTTATTAATTTGTATAAGCTCTTTATGTATTAAGATACTAACCCCATCATTTGGAACATTGCTATACACTATTCATTTTTAATTGTGCAAATATATCAGACCTGATTTTCAGGTCTGCTTAAAGAAGTCTCTCCCCACTAACTACAAGCCCAAGGTTAAAAAGTATCCATCTAGAATTTATCTTAGTGTAAGAAGTATTCTTCTCAGTTTCAGCTTTCAACACAGATTTAAACCAGCAATTTAAAAATGTTGCCTGTTTCTCATATCTTACATTTGCTTTTACAATAGTGTAGCTGATGATTTTTTAAAAATCATTAAGCCCACTGAACCCATGTTTAGCAACCTCTGCTCTAAGTTCATCAGAAATTAGACAAAGAGAAAACACCTTTCATCCCATAGCAGCCATCTCCAAATACCTCTACATTTATAAATCCAAGTGCAATGGGAATTCTTTGATTTTTTTTTTAGATTTTTTTTTTTTTTTTTTGCATTGGGGATAAAATAAACCAGACCCATAATGTTTGCGTGACCAAGATATAATTATTTTCTATTATGAAAAAATAACTTTGCCCTTCTGTGATGTACTTGGCTTTCTTTACATGCCCTGCAGTGAGGACTGGGCAGAAGCTCAGGGATGCTTTGTCTAGGTAAGTCAGCAAACTAGTGGGAGAGGAAATGGTGACAGAAGGCTGCGCCCTAAGTGCCTCTCACCACAGACTGCGTGACGGACGCTCTTTTGTTGCAGGGTAGGAGAGCAAGGCTGATTTTCTGTGTTAGCAGTCATTGAGATTTTTGCTCTTAACTTCCTGAGGGCACCATTTTTAGGAGAGGTGTAGACAAGAATCACTAGCACCCTTGAGGTGTAGATTGAGTGAAATGTTGACTACATTCCACTGGGCTCATGTTGACTACATTCCATCACTTTGACATTGCAGACAAGCAGTTTCCACTGGTGTAGGGTGAGAGATTAAGTCTGAAGACGGAAGGAGAATTTAGTAAGGGATTGGCCCAACAGGACCATTGGAAAGCACCATCTTTCAATATGGCCTGATAGAGTTACAACATGCTAATTCACTGGCAATGCCCAAATCTCTCTTCTGCTTTTTCATACTTCTCTTGCAGTGGATGATAGCACTGGAGTTATAAACTGCATCTGCTGGAAGAAGTTGAACAATACCGAGTCTTCCTCAGGTAATTTCATTTGCCACACTCCTTTACTTTTCTCACTCATGGATTTTACTCAAGGCAGCTCATCAGAACAGCCATAGGCCTAAATTTTCACATTTACCCTCTGATGCGTTACACTGACCAACTGGAAGCACTGCATTCTGAGCTTTGGTTTTTCTGCAGATTGCTACTAAAGGGAAGCCACTTGTTTTCTCCTCGCTTTTCTTTGCTGCTCACTTCCTTCTAAGCCTACAGGAATGGGACTAGGTTACTAGGAGTTCCAGCATTTCACTTTTACTCTGCCAGTCATTACGCAAGTCAAGATATTTCAGTCTAGTTGCCATCAGGTCAGAATCCCCTTGCTCCGGGCATGCCACTTGACCAAAGTAGATTTTGAAGACTTTTCCTCTTAAGTGGTTGCTACTAATTTCTATGCTGCCATTCAGATCCAGATTTTTTTGAAATCTGTACATGTTCAACAAATATACCAGGAATTCTAAGATTGATGAGAAGGTAAGATAGGATTCCTTTGAACTTAGCCATTGAGTCATATAAACTGGAAAAGAACTTCAAATTTACATATTAAACACAATGACTATAACTGAAACAACATTTAGAATTTCTTGAGTGTATTTTATTATTTATTATTATTTTTTAAATCCTCACCTGAGGATATATTTTTTCCATTTCTTTTCAGAAAGTAGAAGGGGGAGAGAGAGAGGTCAATGTGAGAGACACATTGATTGGTTGCCTCCCACAAGTGCCTTAAACGGGGCCAGGGATCAAGCCTGCAACTGAGGTACGTGCCCTTGGCTGGAATTGAACCCACGCCGCGTCACTCCATGGGCTGAGGCTCTAACCAGTGAGCAAAACTGGCCAGAGCTAAGTTATGCATAATATTTAAAAATATATGGAGCAATGTTGGTGATCATTTTGGGTCTAGAGAAGCCACAGAAAGGGGGACCTTGTTTTTCCTGTTACACAGCATGTGCAGTGTGCACCACACACAGAGGGGTTATTTGGTGTAATTTGCCTGCTGTCCTATCTAACGTCTGGTATCTGTCTCGTGTTATACATGGTGACAGTATAATGCTTGGAGTGGTTTCTTCTTTTCTTTCTGCCATTTCCTGCCAGAATCTCAACCCCCGACTTTGACTATACTGACCGGTGGATGTGCCTTTGCCTAATTTTCTGTTGTATTTACATTTGGAATTTGGCCATCAGTTTCATGTAACTTTCATATTTCCATTTCCTAATTTGGGAAAATCTAAATCAATGGCACTATAGGAAGTTTGTTTAGGAAACTTTGTAGATAAAAAGAAAATTAAGAGAGACAACAGGTTTTTATGCACATATCTCACAGGCAAGAAATAAACCTATGAGACAATCAGATACTTGAATTTGCACGTCTGTACGTTAATGCCATTTGCATATTTATGGTTATTGTGTTGTCACAATCTTCATTCAGAAGGTGTAGTTTGAATATGCATACTTTGCTCCTTGCCAAGGGTCAGCAAACTTTTTCTGTATAGAGCCAAGAGTAAATGTTTTCTGCATTGTGGGCCACATGGTCTGCATCTCAACTATTCAGCCCTGCCATTGTAACACAGAACAGCTGTAGACCATACATAAACAAACAGGCATGGCTCTGTTCCAATAAAACTTTATTTATAAAAACAGGATGTGGATGGAATTGGCCCATGGGCTAGTTTGCAGACCCCTGTTTTAGACATTGCTTTAATTTTCTTTTCTTTTTTTAATGTATCATTGATTTCAGAGAGAAGGGAGAGAGAGAGAGAGAGACTTAAGTGATGAGAGAGTCATTGATCGGCTGCCTCCTACACGCCCCCTACTGGGGATCAAGCCCGAAACCCAGGCATGTGCCGTGACCAGGAGTTGAACTTGGACCTCCTGGATCCTAGGTCGATGCCCAACTGCTGAGCCATGCCGGTTGGGCATTGTTTTAATTTTTAAATTCAATTCTTTTTTTTAAAAAAGAATGACATCTTCAGGAATATTATATAACTCTTATACTTATTAATTTTTTAGGTAAAATTGCTATCAATATTGAAAGTGAGATTTTAAAAATTATCTCTAGATAAATAAATAGATGAACAATCAGGGTGGATAGACTTAATTGAAAATTGCTTTGAAAATAGGGTAAGAGAACAAGGAGGAAGCTTGAAAATGATTCTCATCATGGTATACATGAAGTGGTAGCTTTAAATTGTTCCTGACTAGCCCATCTCTCCTTTTAGTTTAATTGCCCTCAGTTTTAAAGTGTTCCACTGGAAAGTGGCCAACGAAGACTAATTTTTTTAAACCAAAATTTTAATCTGAGTCAAAATCATGTTCTAGTCAGTTGAAGTATAAGAATGATATTAACTCCTATAAATGTCACATTGAATGTACCATTTGGACTTAGCTTTTGAGGAAAGTTAAGAAAGCTTATCCCTTAATATTAGAATTTTAAAGAGGGCTTATCTTTCAGCGTGGAATAGGTTGCTTAAAATGAAATTCTGTCAGGCTCCAGCCATGTCATTATGTTCATTAAATTACACAGCTTGAGCCTTTTTTTTTTTTGGTAGTTTCATGCACCCTTTAAACGAAAGCTGGGCCTCTTTTTCTCAGACCAGCTGTCAGTCTGATCATTTCAGCAGTGCTACATGAAGCATTTATTATCACCTATAATGTCTGAATACTGGCAGTGAAACTTACAAATACATTTAAAATTCAGCCTAAGTAGAAGAGGACTTGGGGATGGAAAACCTTTTGAAAAGTAATACTTGGGTATTTTCTGAAGAAACCCAGTAGCTGAGTGACATGAATGCTGATTGTGTCTAGATTCCTAGCTGTTGGTTACTAGATACACGAAGCCCTCCGTGCTCCTGAGGTTGCTGTTTCCCTTGGTATAGTAGATGTGTTAAAAGAAAAGTTACGCCTTTGCACACTACAAAGCCACAGTTATCTAAGTTGTATTAGATTAAAGAGCAGAATATTTTATTACTAGATGGAGAGATTCATTTCAATTATAGGAACCCTGATATGTGACAAACCAAAAATAATACAATAGTAGGAAATAAGTCAGTATTTAACAAATGTTGTTGGTTCAGGTAGATAACGATATTGAAAAAGAGGTACCCTCTATCCCTACCTTGCAGCTTCCATAAAATAACCCGAAGAAGGCAGAGTTGTATATTTATTCCAATAAAGACCAAGGTATATATGTTAAGGTCTCCTAAGTCCCTGTTAAGGCACTGAAAGCTATCATCAGTGACAAGAGAGATAGACTAAGCAAGTTTTCTAAACTTTTATGTAATAAAATGAAATGAAAGAGAAAGAATGGAATAGAATGGGGAAAGTGGATGTAGTGTGCACAACTTGACAAAGCTTCCCTAAAAATCTTTCAGAAATTAACATAAAGTATTGAAAAGAGATGAAGGACTTATACATAAAGAATATAGAGAGCAGATCATCTTGTATAGAAACACATAGCTTAGCCTGGCCTGCGTGGCTCAGCAGTTGAGCATCACCCTAGGATCCAGGAGATCCCGGTTCAAGCCCTGATTGGGCCACATGCCTGTGTTGCGGGCTCGACCCCCAGCAAGGGGCATGCAGGAAGCAGCCGATTAATGACTCTCTCATCATTGATGTTTCTATTTCTCTTTCCTTCTTCCTTCCTCTCTCTCTCTGAAATCAATCAAAATATGTTAAAAAACAAAACACATAGCCTCTTTGGCAACTTAAAAGTAAAATAAAACATTATGGAATTGTTAATTATTTTCTAAGGAATTAAAAATCCAAATGACTGAAGCCAGTGTGGGAGCCAAGAGCATGCACACATGGCTGGTGACACCTTGTAAAAAAGAGTAGTTTATTTTTTTCTGGCAAACATTCTGACAATATGTAATGAACTGTGAACCTATTTCTACTTTTCTATCCAGTAATCCCCAGTGGAAAATCCCAAAGGGAACAAAATAATTTTGTCCAGAGGGCTTAGTTTTTTTTTCTTTTCACAAATAGCTGACGTTTATTGAATTTTTCCTATGGATCTGGCATTGTGCGAAGCTCATGATGTAAGAGTTAACTTAGATCACGCGCAACAACTCTATATATAAGGGTGGACTTTTGCTTAAGTTTATAGTTTTAAGTGGTATGAGAGTGAATGTGTGTGTGTGAGAAAGAGAGAGAGAGATATTAGCCTAGTTACCTAACAAAGATGAGAGATGAGAGATGAGAGATTAGGGTGTTGAGCACCTAGGAAATCAGTCTAAAGTGAATTTGCCTCCCCCATAAACAGAACCACAAATAGAGACTCTTGGGTCCCCTTCCCCTTACTCCAGACCTCTGTCTCCCTGCTAGGACACTTTAAAGGGTTGTTGAGAGCTATTGCCACCAAACCCAACTGAGCCCATACAGAATTCAGCTCAGGACCACCTAAGAGCCCTTTGACTACACTAGTGATGCAGGGCTTCTAGACTCTGTTCCCTTCACCCTACTCTGAATAATTACAGCTTAATTCCTTTTATTCAGTAGAGGATTTCAAAAAGGTTATGCAGATTTCCTATGGTAGAACAACTAATCCAAAGTGAAATAAGTAAATGCCCTGTGTTGGTGTTACCCCCAAACTAGCTCACAAATGTGGTGGAGTGATTATGTTACGCATTTCTCTCTTTTCTTCCTGCCATAACAACTATAGCTGCTCCAAGTGCAAGAGAACTGAAATTAACATCCCAGCTTAAGAAGCTGCAGGAGACCATTGAGCAGAGAACAAAGATAGAAATTGGGGACCTTATCCGGGTCAGAGGTTATGTCCGCACGTACAGAGAAGAGCGAGAAATCCATGCCACTGCTCACTGTAAGCACAAGATGTTTTTGCCAAATTGGCGGTGGTTCTGGGTGTGTATCAAGTAAACTTGTTTAACTAAAATCAAACTTCTAAATAGTTCAAATAAAAAGATTAACTATTTAATGGAAGAAATTATATTTTATAACATGTTTTCTTTGGAAAAGCGGCATTTCTTACATTTACTTTAAACAGAGGTAACTATAAATAAATTGGGAAAGAAGATAAATGATTTATTATGTATAGCTGGAAAATTTATTTGGACAGCACAGTAGTTTAATTTAAAGTACTTTGAAGTTCCGAGTATGAATCCACTTAGGGCAGAGTGTTCATATTCTTCAAAATGATGGAGATTTCTTGAGTACTGTTAAATTCATTAGCTTTGAAATAAAACAGCTAATCAGATATATGATATTCCCATATCATCTGAGTGATGCCCTTTGCATTGCTCTGGCTGGTGTTTGCTTGGCAGTCTGTAGGAGGGACCCTGTTGTCCACCATTGTAACATGAATGATTAAGCTAATATGTTCTCCCTAATCCCAGGGCACTCCTGGCCAAGCATGTGATGCTTAGGGTATAGCATTCCCTTTTGCACAGTTACTGGGAACTAGTTAGTGCATCTAGACTGTGTGATTCCCAGGCGCCCACAAGGAAGGACACCCTCTGAGTGCCCCATTGACTGTCATCCTAGCAGCAATTTGGACAAGGGAAGGGACTGATCTCAGTGTAATTTCTGTGGTATACTTTTCCCTTTGGCTGCTTAGATAAAGTAGACGATCCAGTGTGCAACATTCAAATTGCAAGGATGCTTGAGCTGCCCACTATCTACAGGAAAGTTTATGACCAACCTTTCCACAGCCCAGCCCTAGAAAAAGAGGCACTAAGGTAAGTTATGGCCAGTCACTGGTGAAGATGTGATCTCAGCAGGAAGGCCAAGTAGGGGGAGCCCAGATGCTGGGAGTAGCCCTGGGTTCAAATCCTGAAACCATTATCTTACTCATGCGAGGATCTGGGCAACTCTGCTCACGCTCTTTCTGCCTCAGTGCCCTCATCTGTATAGAGAAGATGATAACAGTGCAGATGTTCTGTGGTTGTTGTGAGGAAAACATATGTGTAACTGAGGTCCCTAAAGGAGTGTAGGGAGCAGAGAGAAAATATTTGAAGAAATGATGGCTGAAAATTTTCAAAGTTTGATGGAAACTATAAACTCACAGATCCAAGAAGCTCAACGAGCCCCAAGGCAAGAAACCTGAACACTGCACCGAGGTGCATCATAATCAAAACATGTCACTATGACAGAGCATAGTGAAAAGCTGCCAGTCATTTTCAACCAGGGCTGGTTGTACTCTTTTGTGGCGGTGGTGGGGGGGGGGAGAGAAAA